TATTATTATAAATCTTATCATTTCACATGCGTTTCATTCACCTGTCGCATGAACTGGTTCTCATGGCATAACATGCATAGGTTCAAAGTTGAAAACGATAAAATATCTAGCTTTATTTTTACCAATTTTTACGAAAGCACAATTATTTGAATCAAAACTAGAAAAATAAAAATAATAAATTCCTAGATAGTTGGTATTTTCTATATTTCTGTAATTACGACAATTAATGATTTACTCTTATTAACATTAATTTATTCTTACGATCTTCAAATGACCTAACAGATCTTAGTGTCATTTTCAAAGTTACTGAATATAGGTACTAATTAAAAATCTCAACTATTGATTTAATTTTTTTTGGTCGTTACACCATGCAATTTTATTACGATATTATTTTTGTTTTTTAATGATACTTTAGATTTATTTGGTAAAGTAAAATGGCAACAAGGGAACAAGGTTTTAGTTCCCAATTATTTATGGATGTAGATACAGTTCAACCTGATAAACAGTCAACTGTCATTTTCAAAAAATACAATCCAAATTCTTAGATTTGAACATTCGCTATTTTTAACAAATTTGTTTACTTTTCATTATTGAAGCTAACTTAATAAAAATACAAACAAAAATTAATTTAATATTTGAAACATATTTTTAAATTAAATTAATCTATCAATTTAAATTAATTTATTTCAAAATAAAAAAAATCCACAAAAGTTCATAGTATTCACAACAGTGACATTGACTTATGAACATAAATAAGCTCCACATACATATGTTGCAATATCACTCAAACTTGAATGGGTATAGATACATGAGTCAGTGAGTGTCATAAACTCCAAAATTTGCAAGGAAAATTACACTTAAATGAGTATATTCAAATAAAAAAACTTTTTATTAGGTTATTTACACAGCTTTGTTTTAATAATTTGTAGTCGTGTATAAAAATTACCATTTTGTTTCTTTTTAAACAAAATGATCTTCAAATAACCTTATTATTTACTTACTATAAAAAATAATATTATTTCAAATAAAAGATAACAAAAAACTCTTTCACATTTTTGTTTACGTTGCTGAAATCTACAAAAATTAAGATTAAAATACATACTTATAGCTTCTAAATACCTTTCAGAAGCATTCATCTTAAATAATAATTTTAAAAATTGCAATTGTGCTTTATTGCTTAACTGAATAAAAAAAGAAAAAAAAAAGGTTTCCATCCAAAAATAACCAAAAATTTCAAAAAGTGTATGACCATAAATAATTAATTTTTTTAGTCATCATTTTTAAGTAATGAATTTTCTAATATTTTTAATATTTTACCAAATATAGTATATGTATTGACGTTATTATATACGTTATTATATATGACGTTATTATACTATGTATCGTAGCATTACTATCATTATTAATAACTATACGTTCAAAATATACATAATCGTATTATAAAATAATTGTCTTCCATAAAGCAGAGTTACCAGCTCAAAAAAATTAAAATTACAAGATCCGAGCTGTAACACCTATCACATTATTACATTTATTTTTAACAAATTATTTCTTTTATTTTTGTTTTGTTTCTTGAAAAATTCCAACATTTTAATTTAAAACCATGTTCCAAAGTTTAGAAAAAGAAAGAAGACACATTTTTTTAATTTTATCAAATTTAATTTTTAAAAAAAATTGTTTTAGTAAAGCTACATCTACTTAGTATTTAATTAGTGTGTTATGACGTATAAAAAATTACTCTGTAATTATATTATCATAAAAAATTACGTTTTGGTAAATATTTAATTTAAAACATTAGAAAAAAAACAAGAACAATGCCATCTTTAACTCATTAATGGGCTTGTTTAGCGAAATCTTGTAATAATATCTATTAAGACAACAATAAGAATTTTATAGACAGTCTAAAAATTGAAGCCGTAGTTTAAATTCCAGCGATAATTAATTAGACCGAGCTGTTTAAACTATAAAACTTGTGTTGTCTTCAATTTTTTTCCAACACTAATATTAAATCAGAAATTTTATTAAATTCAGAAATTTTTTTGAAGAAATTTGTCAAAACTCATGGTTATCTGATTAAATCAACTTGAGTTTAGCCAATCAGAAAACTGAAATAAAATCATTTGATTATAGCTTTCATAAAATAATAAAAATATTAGAAGTAGTAAGATGGTGTATGCACATATTACATATTTTATAAAATTTGTTGTAACTAATATAAAATTTTTAATATACGTATCAAGTAAATCAATGTTTACGATTATGGTTTTTACCCATGGAAGATAGTGCTTAAGTTATAATCCTTTATGTAAGCCCAATGATCAATTGATTCATGTTCGTTATGAAAATTTAATATTGTGTTACTCTTTAATAGGTAGAAAAAAATTCAGTGACCTGTATTTTACAGTTTATTCAATTTTTCGAGTAAAGTTCATTGATTTAATACATTTAAAAAATTCGAGTAATAGAAAAAAACCTCAGTCATACAGTGTTGTCCGATTTCAATAAAAATGTTATTATTTTACGAAAAAAATATGCAAGGAGCGCTACAAGCCTATCGTACCTACATTTGTTTATTTTTAGAAAAGCAGCCTAATTTCAATGTACAAAATGTAAAACTAATATTGGTGCAAAAATAAAAACTTTAAATTGTTTAAATGTTGCACAACATAATAAAGCAAAGGATCAAGTAACGTATTTTTTATAGATGGTTAGCTATTAATACGTGTATTAATGGGGCAAGACTAAAAAGCTTGATTATGTATAAGTTGTATACAAGGTCACACATTCGATTGTAATGCAAATTATTCACTTACAACTTTACTTTGATACACGTAGTATCGGCGGCAAAAAAATGGAAATACCAACATAAAGGTTTTGACTTTTGTAATCAAGTCTTTTTTGTCATGTTGACGTAGAGAAACGTCATCAAGTCAGTAGTGTTTCATAGGTTGTGAATCAAAGGACTTACTTTTTAGAAAAAAAACTCTTAAAATAATAAAGAAAAACGACAACATAGGTCAAAAACACCTTTTTACCTTAGATAGGTGTTACTTACTACAGTGACCTATGAACTTTGTGAAAAATTAAAAGATTGTTAAATAATAATTAATTTATTACTTTGTTCTCAGTGTTAAGTAAATGTTGCAATATTCCATAGCACACAAACTCATTTTTCCAAAGGTATTAGATTTTTTTTATTTGCAAAGTGTCAAATTTTAATGATAAATTCTCAAAGTACTATTTGTTTCTCGGTTAACATGGAAAGGTAACCTAATTTAAATGTTGCCACATGTTGAATGCATAAAGCTCGATTTTCTAATTCACTACAAAGTAATTAATCTCATTAGTTTTCTAATAGTTGAGCAGCAAAATTTTGTAAATGTTTACTTAGAGCAATTTTATAAATTGTAAAATAAAATTATTTTTGCTGTCCTTGTAAGGATTCATTATTATTTATTGCTAGATGTTATGATAAGCTTCAAGCGACTGTTAATACATTTAAGAATGCGCACAAACAAAAATTCGGTTATTTTTATTTCTCTTTGGTGATGTAATTCTTACACTTTTAAACCTGTCCGACTTTTTTAACACACGATATTTAAATTATTTGTTTAATTACTGAGGCAAAACAGTTGTTCTGTCCTTATTAAGTGAATAATACATATATTCATATATTTAGTATTGAACGCTTATGAAACAATGATATCAAAAGACCGGTTTACATAATAGAAAAATTAGGGTTTCCATTTTTTTGGCGTCAATAGTACCTATATTAAGACTTAATTTGAAAGTCTACTTTTGTGTTACTAAGTAGTTGTTATTTTTTGAAAACTATGTTTAAAGCTTAGAGTAGATATTAAAACATACTAATGGTGTTCTTTTAAAGAAATTTTATACAAGATAAAACTCTAGAAAAAACTCTTGAAATAGTAAATAAAAACAATAACAAAGTTTAAGAACACCTTTTTAACTTTGTATGGATTACCATAATGTTCAAAAACAACATTTTTACAAAAAAATCGATTAATTTTAACGCTTTGATGACATGTAATTCATGCCTGTTATAGACCACCCGATTTTTTGGTATAATAGTTACTTAGCTCAGCATTTTTTAGATTATAAATAGTAGTAAATTGTAAACAAATTACTCTTTTGTAATTCAACTTTCTTCATGTAAAATTCCTGGCGGTAATAAAAGCCGTTTCCAAATTCTGAGTGCTTGAGACGAAAAACAAAATTTGCGCGATATACCATTGTAATTGAAATACATACCTAATATTTTGAAAATAACAACAAAGTTCTTAATATTAGTGGCAATTTAATAAAAAAATATTTACCAGTTAGTAGTACTGCTACCTATAGATTAACATTTTATTTAATCAGAAACAAAAAAATGGTTTAATTGTGTATTATGTATTGTGAACTTTAGTTAAAAATGATAGTAAAAGCGAATCCGAATTGCAAAAATACTAAAATATTTTTTTTATAATTAAATTAGAATTATTAATAATGTTCGAAAAAATAAAAAGAAACGTAACCTTTTAAAAGAAGAAAAAATGTTTTTGAAAGTTTATTAATAACTATTATGTCTAAAAAAATAAATATACAATTTTTTTATAAAAAAAAAGTTATACCGGAAATTTTTTGATTCATTACTACACTAAAAAATACAAACACTGAACTAACAATAGAAACTTATTAAAAAGTAATGTCCAATAACTTTACTAAATTATTATAAAAGTGGTCTGACATTCCGATTATATCATCCGACTCAGACCTCAAGTTTTTCCTTTCTTATCATTGAGACATTGAATCCAACACATGATTCGGTAGACATGCAACAGACCAACAAAATTACCGTCAAATTCCGTCAATAATATCGAGCGGGGATATAATAGTGTCCACAAGCACCTCCGGAACGAGCAAGTCAGATACCTGAGAGAGGGGGCTTGATCACGCCACCAGATCGCCAAATCACCGAAGCCCGCGAACTACAAACGTATCGCGTGATATTTTAGCAACGGTAGACCATGCGTTGGGACGATGCCGGCGATTCTCAATCAAACCTAGTTCATGTCTGATCTTTGGACTCGCGGCATGTCATGAAAATTTGTTCTATCTAATCATCAAACGCTTTCAGATCTGTATATAAACACACTTTTGCCAACAACACGCCAGTCAATTCACAACACCCTTCGTGTAAGGTGGTTTTTGAGTTACTGTTTTTTTTTGCCTTTCTTCTAACGGATTCTTACCAATAATTTCTTATTCAGGTGAGTACCTCTTTACTTTTTTTCTTTAATTTCTAGTGTACCAGAATTTTTTTAACTGTAATTATTAAAAGTGAAACAAAGAAGTAAAATACATGAAGCAAAACCGCTTTTTTCGAACACATATTAAGTCTAAATTATGGTGAAAGTTGAGAAGACGTTTTTTAATATAAAAAATATTGAATTCTTTCAATGTTTGCTTTGTTTTTTTTTATTAAAAAAAGTTTGTTTGATAAAAATTTTCTTTTAATACACTCTTTTGTTTAGTCTACTTTTTCTATTTTGCTTTTCCATCACTAAACTTTATTTCTAAATTATTTAACACGATTCGTAAAAACTAAACATTTTTCGAAATTTGAGTGTTTCTAATTCTTATTTTAAAACACATTATCCAAAAATACGAAACATTTTAATGTTATTCAATAATTTTTTTAATGTTTTTTATTCATTTGTCCATTTTTGAAATATTGTAGTTTTTGCATAGTTGAAATTTTTAAATTGCAAAATTGTGTGCGACATTTTTTATTATAATAAGCAAAATATTGGTCATCACATTTTAAAATAATGCTCTTTGTTTTTGTGCTTGTTGTAATTTAGGACCATTATTTATTTTAATTATTTTTAATTTTTGTTTTACTACTTTTATTATTATTTTTCACGAATAAACACTATTCCTCATGAAATATTTCCAACTTACGTAAAAATAATTGCTTACTTCTTACTTTTAAATAAAGACAACAAAATCATTTACTCTCATTATTAGCATTATTATTACAATGCAAACAAATTGATAAAAACCCACGTTGCTCCTTTCAATAATTATTGAATGCAAATTTTTCAAGGGCAAGTGTTACGATTTCATAATGAAAAGTGGGTGAATCTAATCGAACAATTCCAAATTATTTCAAATCCAGCATCATCTGCTGACCTTCGTATCTTTAATATCAATACATCGATTTTATCATTAAATATTCAGTGATCGTAATGAATCGGTATTTTTCCAGAATGGCACCAAATGTTTCTTTCCCAACCGGAGTCCTTCACGAAAATGATGAAGAGATTTCCAGTGCCACAATTCCGTCAGAGGTCAACAAACCGGAAGACCGCAAACTGCAGTTAGTTTGGAGGAACATTATTTTGTTTGCTTATCTGCATTTGGCCGCTTTGTATGGAATATGGATCATGTTCACCTCTGCGAAAATCGCAACATCTATCTTTGGTGAGTTAAAAATTCATCAATTCACTTGTTGAGTCACTCGCATGGCTCCAACTTGTCTGTCGTAAACCTCGTTTATTGACTCGACAAATCACTAAATCGAGTTTTTTTTTACAGCGATTCTGCTTTACCAACTTGGAGGCTTTGGGATTACCGCTGGGGCCCACCGTTTGTGGGCTCACCGCTCATACAAAGCCAAATGGCCTTTGCGTCTAATCCTCACTTTTTGCAACACTTTGGCTTTTGAAGACTCTGTTATTGATTGGGCCAGAGACCACCGCGTCCATCACAAATTCTCCGAAACCGATGCCGACCCTCATAACGCCAAACGTGGTTTCTTTTTCTCTCACGTGGGCTGGCTTTTGTGCCGAAAACACCCTCAAGTGAAGGAAAAAGGCAAACAGATTGACCTCTCTGACTTGTACGCCGACCCGATTTTGCGATTCCAGAAGAAGTATTACAACATTGTGATGCCTCTGGTTAGTTTTGTTATGCCGACTCTCGTCCCGATGTACCTTTGGGGTGAAACGTTCAGAAATGCCTTTTTGGTCAATCTCTTCAGATATTGTCTCACTTTGAACGCCACATGGTTGGTCAATTCCGCTGCTCACATGTGGGGTGATAAGCCCTATGATAAGTTTATCAACCCTGCTGAGAATTTCGTAGTTGCGGTTTTGGCTTTGGGCGAAGGTTGGCACAACTACCATCACACTTTCCCTTGGGATTACAAAACTGCAGAATTGGGAAAATACAGTGTGAATTTTTCGACTGCTTTCATTGATTTCTTTGCCAAGATCGGATGGGCCTATGATTTGAAAACTGTCTCAGCGGAAATGATCAAGAAAAGGGTTTTGAGGACCGGAGATGGCACTCATGAGATTTGGGGATGGGGTGATAAGGATCAACCGCAGGAAGATTACCAAGACGCAATCATCATGCATAGGAAGAACGCATAAAAATGCATTTAAGACTGATTGTTAGGTAACTTATGTTTGGCTGTTGATTTAATGGTTGTATTATCTGTTAAATATTTTATTTAATGCTAGTGCACTCAGTTCGGTGTTGATTCACTTCGTTGATACTTTTTTATTTAATTTTAGTCTCAAATTAGTGTAGATTGTCAACAGTGATATATGATAAGTCAACCTAATAAATAATTAATGCTAGTTGAGTACTTTGTTGGTCCACTATAATGTTAAAGTAGAATTAAGGTTTTTGTAATGTAATAAACTAACTGTACAAATGATTAAAGAATTATACTATTTTTGAAATAAGGTATAATTTGTTTCTCTCTACCCGTTTAAGAATATACAGGTACAATGAATAAAATGAAAAACAAATTAAATATTGAATTTTAAAACAAAAAAAAAATAAGTACACATTACAAATTTTCTAATCTTCAATCAAAACCTCTATTGCAAATAAACACTTCGAATTGTAATTAATTAAAAAAGTAATTAGTAAAATACGAGTACATACTAAAGCTATAGGTAGTAGCTATTTTGTTTTCTAAATGTTGGCTGTATTAGCGAACCTATTACTTGTAAAAATTGTAATATCTTAGCATGAAAAAAATTGTTTCGTTCTCTATTATGTTTAAAAAATATAATAAAAAATAAACACATAATACGTAAATAAGTGTTTCAAGATTTTATTAAAATAAAAATCTGAATGTTTTAATGGTTTGTCGAGATTTTATTGATTTTTTCATCACATTTTTTTTGTTTTTTATATCAAAACTCATGGAATTTGAATTCAGTTTCAACAATAAACTTCGTAATAAATGAGTGCACTAAATTATGCAAAAACCAGTTCAATTGTATAATATTAACACTAAAACATCATTTTAACTTCTAGTAGAAAAATACTCATTTCACAATATTGCATTATGTAATTATTCATTATTGTTACTTATTCTTTCTATAAAGTCTCCGTTACAAAATCATAAAAGTATGTTGTTATTGGCTTTTTTATGTATTTTTTTACTGCAGCTCAAAGCCTGAATTTGTGTTTTTACTTCTAAAGCGACCTGTACATTCATTGCATCTCTTTGAATTCTTGTAAAGGTTTTTTATTAATAAAATAAATAACATATTATTTAATGTATTAAAAGGGCAAAAATCGACTGTAGGGTAGTAGTACTAAATAATAGTTATTTACTTGCCAAGTCAGTAAAGTTCTTTATCGAACAAATCTGAGATTTTGAGCAGAGCGAGCGAAGCAAGTGAGTTCGACACTTCACTGACGTGTTGCATACAACATTTTATCGCCAACCGTATAAATTTATTTAAAAAATAGAGAAAAAAAGTGAGATATTGTTAAGTTATAACGTTTTATTATGACAAAATAAACGCATATAAAAGTATCAGCGAATACAAAACAAATCTACTTATTATTTATTATATTAAACGTAAACGTACACCCTGACTGATTATGAAATCGAAAGATTTTCAATTGAAAATGTTAGAGATTTATATCTATGTTAACAATTTGCATATATTCAGAAAAATTATCAGCTGTAACAACTATGTTGTCAGGTTAACTTTTGCCTAAAAATGGTCTTTGCGATATATTTGCGTCAGGTAAAATGCTTGATTTGTAGAGTGCAAAAAAGTCTTTGTTTACTTCGGAAAATTGCTATGTGAAATGGTAATGCGTGGGTTTATTGACGGTTGGCGATAACATATTTTTATCTTCAAGCGTTCGAAAATTATACCTCTGTGTATCTATAGAAACGGTTGGCAATTGGAGTTAAAAGACTTCAAATCCATGGAGTTGAAATGTCTACAAGCGGCTAGATCGAGTCAAATGTGAGATCTTCAAAAATAAAGCATTTCACATGGTAAAATCACAACTTATTTATGAATAATTACACAAATGACATATGTTAAATAAAATCAAAAATAACAAAATGGCCGTTTAACGTTAAAAAGTGAACTAAGATCTTATACCAAGTTATCCAAATTTTTTTTTACAATTGTGATATTCTTTTCGTAAATTCAAAATAAATTCATTTAATCTAAATTTACATAATACACTGACTTTCTTTTGAAAACATCGGCCTTACTTTTGAACACATCGGAAAAATCAACTGATTTAGATTGTAATAGTACAAAACTGAATTAACGACTTCTTCATTTAGCAAAGAAAAAATTGGGGCGTCTTATGTAGAAAAATTGTGTTATGGGTTTCTTAATCTCTCCAAATGTATCGTTAAATTTTGGATTTGTTAATCATTTTTTCAATTATGAATCCACCAAAAAAAGAAACAAATCTTGTTCTTTTAAATGCTCACTGAGCAGAACCTAATAAATTATGACTATAAACAAATTTTTAAATAAATGTCACTGTGAACACTTACAATACTTCTAATGTGAAGTTAAGCCGGAACACCTGTACATCCAAGAGAACTAGATCTTTTTGTACTTCGCAGGGTTGCCGGCTGTGACGAAGTCACAATATCTTAGCACAAAGAAACTCACCTCTACTCTTAATAATAATCATAATCTACTATATGTATTTTTAAAGAATTAAATTTTATTTAACAAAAATGTAGGTACGAAATTAATACGAAAACACGTGTCAATTTATAAAAAAAAGCTGTTATAGACTAGATTTAATATCTTATCTTTAATTAAACATTCTCAGAAGAGTGATTTTAGCAGTCTTACATAAATTTTACTGAATTCTATGTATTCATATTTTATTTAAAAAAAAACATCAAATTTATTAAATAGGTAACCAACATTAGGAACTTTCAATTGGTACTAAAATGCGCTTCATTAGGATTGACCCCTAACGCCTGTGAACCTTTTCATTCATAACTACTTTAATTCCAACTTTAACGCTTCACATTAAAATATTTATACATTTTAAAAAGTTTTACAAGACTTACAAATAAATGTATATAAAAAATAAATAGGGTAAAAACGCCAGTTGTCTACCAGTTAACTTTATTTTCGTATTTAAAGCGTGGCTAAAAATTTGTTTTACGACGAATTATTTTAATGTTTGTATTTACAGTAATCAGACAGAAAGAAAGAGAGAGACAGAAAGAGGAATATTTTACGCAACATATATAAGTTTTTTTCTATTTATTCAAATTTAAATGCTTTTGGTTGATTACTAGATAGAAATACGCGATATTAGGCACATTTACCTTAGTATACCATTTCCATATACATACAGGCTGTATTATGAAAAACGACTCAAGCCATAACTCCATTATTTTTAAAGTTATGACAATACTTCTTAGAACAAAGTTCAACATTTTTTGTCATCTATCCTTTGGGATATGTATATTTTACCACTTTTAGATTCTTTGTTCAAGTGTCTTTTAACAAGTTTTAGTGCCATATGCCTAAAACCAACTGTTAGTGAGATATACGTCAATTCGTCAATTATGTGGATCAATTTTAAAATTAAAATTTTTTTGATTTTTGTCGAGATTTTGGCCGATTTTTTGGCACCTGGAGCGGTCTATTTATAATAATTCCGGACTTCTTATTGATAACCACCTATGTTTGGTACCATTGAAAAGAAAATTTAATTTTCTATCATATACAAAAAAGATCAGTGTTCTGCGTAAATAGTTATCGAGAAAATTTCTGATAAACAAATCAAAGAAAAAAATTAATAAAATTATAAATTAAAACGTTACAAGTTTTAACAAAATAAATTTATATTTTTTTTATCTATGTATATATTTTATTTATTTTACCCTTAATAAAAAATCTTTTATCAGTATTTATTATACGAAATTCTAATTTTTTAACTTATTAATATGTTTTGTTGCATATCCTATTTTTGAACGAAAATTCCAGTGACGTCAATTCGAGCGAATAATGCGCACACGTGATTGATGCAAAGTTACGAGAAATAAGTACCTACCAATTGCAACTAATAATAATTGGATAGTGATACATTTTTATAAATTAAATGCTACGAGATCGATTTGGATTTATTGAGGTAAACTCTTTTATTAAATATTTTCGATTAATCGCCCAATAATCGTCCGATGTCAAAGTTGACAGTTGCCTGACAGCGATTAGTGAGACCATGGTCATTTGTTACCGTGGATATCATCCATCCAAAATCCCTACTTTTTGGTTTCAGCGTTGTGCAGTCCTCAGTTTAAATTAAAATAGCTTTGAAACGGTCCATTTTAGGGGTATTAAAGGTTATGCGTTTTTTAATCAAAATTGATTACTCTATTGATTTAGGCAATAAAAAATTGGTGTTAAGAGAGCAAAAAAATGGAAAAACACAGAAAATGTGACCTGCAACTGCTGTAACCGGAAATTGAGTGGATGTATCCGATTTTCGTGATTACCAGTTCAAAGGGTATGTTGTCACAGGGAAATGTTCCAAATTTTATAATATTTGGTSAAATAGTTRCAAAGTTARTACAAAAAYATCAAATTTCCATACCCACATTCCGAGGGCTGTAAAATTCTTATCAGTAGAGATAGGACACGAGTTATTATTTAAATTAACATCATTTTATAGGTCATTTTTGAGGTTCAAATATTGCTTCATATTTATGAATAATCCTGTATGGTCGAAGGTTATTTATATTATATTTTTTGCAGCAACCAACAATACCAATATCACTAACTGCTAAATTAAATATGTTATTAGAAATCAAAGTAAGTTGGATAGATTTGCCAGAAATGTCAGATTGACAGATAACCTATATTTAAACATAATTCAACAAATAAATTAACAAGTTAAGTTAATGTAAAAACTGAAGTGTCTACCAGCGGTTTCTAAACATGCGCCTAGTCTGTTGGTAAACGATACCAAAACATGTCGCATAGTTTGAAAGATGATTTTTTTGCTTTAACGTCAAAGAGACAAGACTAATAACAGATATCGTGGATTCAGTTATAATTATTTTTAAAATTTGAAATCAAGAAATTGTTGCACTAAGTATAATGGGTTGCGGCAAAAAATAATTCAGAAATAACCCTCTCGTGAATAATCCTGTATTAGGTTCATTTCTGATTTCTGATTTCTGTATAAAACAAAAATCTGTGTAACCAAGGAGCTCCACTTTTTTTATACAGAAATAAACATTGAGAAAATTGATAGAATGGCAATAGAAAAGTCCCAAAATATATGTATGTACTTATCCAGATAATGATGACTAGTCTGTTATAAAGTATAAAAAGTGTCATTGTTCTAGTCGCTAATTTTCTTTTCAAACAATGTCATAAAACTTAACGAACAAAGACCATGAAAGGTAACAACTGCTCAAGTTTCAAAGAAAAAA